TGTAGGCAAAAGGACAGTAGGATGTTGCGCACACGTAATGACGGTAGTTTGGTACTGTAACGTCCTCGACGTTACAGCCTCCTTGTTTAAGTAAACTCTTTGCTTTTGCAATGCCTACGGTTGGCAGTTATATTAAAAAGTTAATGTCATGATTTTAATTTGAAATAAGGAATCGTCTGAAGGTTCCATTCTAGATTAGATCTTCAGGCACCAAGAACTTCCTCTCGTATTTAGATAAAATTTCTTTATATTCGCCTGAATGATAAAAAGAAATAAACAATTTATCTCTATCAGTATTTTTCAATTATCGACTACGCTCCCAGGTCCTATCCCTTCTGGGTAGAACGCTATATGGTGGACGCGCCGCGTTAGATTCTACCGCGAGTGAAGTATATTTTTAAAGCAAGAAAGAAGTAGTTTTATGAAGATGGAGACCAGGACCACATTCGACGGAAAAGGTGATGTAACCGATTTCTTTCGTCAATTTAATATCATCGCCGCTATCAATAATTTCAACGAGGATACAAAAAGAGTTGTGTTGTCGGCATATTTAAGTGGACCTGCATTGTTGTTCTATAAAAAAATTAACGAGTCTTGTGAGAATTTTCAGATCTTAGAAAAGAAAATTTGTGATGAATTTCCATCATCGATAAATGCGTTGGAAAAAATTTTCTCACGAAGACAAGGCTTGTCAGAAGAGCCATTGACCTTTTTTTATGTATTGGATGAGCTGGCCACAAAAGCGGGAGCTGTCATCGATGACAAATGCTTCATTAGACAGTTCTTGAAAAATGCGAATTTAAATACAAAAAATCTTTTCGCATTTCAATTATATAGTGATAAAACACATTTGAAAAATGTTTTACGACAAGCGCAGGACATTTTTGAGGACGAAAGCGTCGAAATTAGTTGGAATCTGCCGATCCAACCATCGTTTGCTTGTGAAACGTCGAAAATTTTTCATATAATAAGGAATGAAGAGGAACAGGAGAAGGAGATCAACCTCATTTCCTCCCAAAGTGTCCCTTCTCATCACATTGTCCCTCCCGAACATATGATTCCCCGCACTTTTTGTTCCAGCAATATGAACAAAAAGAAAAAAACAAAGAAGAAGAAGCAAATGAAGAAATTTTTTTATGAAGAAGATTCAATGAAGATGGCTGATAAAGAAATTTACCATTCACAGCCGTCAGAAAACAACAGTCAGTATACAAGTGAGTCCAAACCATTAATTAATATAACGTGTCGTGACAAGGAGTTTGTAGGGCTCATTGATAGTGGTGCTGCAGTGTCTGTGGTGTCGAAGGACACAGTTAATAGAATTCATCAACGAATTGATGAAAGCGATATGAAGTTGAAAGCTGTCGATGGTAAAGAATTGTCTGTTATAGGGAAAGTTAACCTTAAATTATTGATAGACAATGTGTTATTCATTCACGATTTTCTTGTGGTAGAGAATATTAGGCATAACCTCATCTTAGGACAGGATTTCTTACTTCAAAATAATGCGATAGTAGACTTTTATAATGAACAATTAATAATCAAACATATTAAGTGCAAGTTTAAAAGACAATATACACAAAAGAATAATGAAAGGAATAGTGATAATTCGGTGTATGATGAAAATTTATATTATGCCGAATAGGTTGATAATACAATAATAATAATGTGTTACTAATGAGATTTTATTTCAGTTTATTGTTTATATGAATGTTTTAAAGCAATGGTGGTATGTAAATAAGGTTCAGTACAATAGTCATTTTAGAATTTTATTTCAAAAGCATATTAAATATAACTTTGTCATTTTATTAGAATTTTTTTTTCAATACACATATTATAAGGAACTTTTACACATTTTGTTTATGACAGATTAATAGTTAGTTTCATTAAAGTATTTTCATTTCTTTTAATTGTTAGCTTTAGTGTAATTTGTTGAGTAGATGGATTATTGATATGGTAATAACCATAAGAATGATAGGTAACAGGTTCGATTCTCTGTTCAACTTGGAATTATTCAATTGACTTTGAATATGATCATAGATAGGATTAATTCAGTATTAGGATAGAATATATATAGTTAATAATGTATAATAGGATAATATAGGTCCTTAAAGAAAATTCCCTTATTATAAAAAAGGAAACGGGTTCGATTCCCTGTAAGGTTAAAAAAATAAATAAATAAATGAATAATAATGTTATACTTTGAAAATTTACCCAACTATGGAAAAGAGGCTATAAAGATTTATCATAAATGTTTTCTTGAATATTAACTTACCCGACTGAAGAAAAATGGTGTAAAGAATTTTACTAATATTTTCTTGATTGTTTTATGTACTACCACATGATGCGGACTTCCCGAGAGAGAGCAGGCTGGCGCTCATGCAGACGTCAGCGATACTGACGATGATCCACCCTGAAGATGATGGAGACACCCTCTACGAATTCGCGTCGTTTTCGTTTCAATTTGGTCGCGTCGCGTTCGTCAAAATCGTCACTTGTAGTAGTTTGACTTGGGGGTAGGGAACCCTTAGTATTCCATGGGAATTGGGTTTAATCTTGTTTGATGCTAGATGTCCTTACCCAAAATTTCTATTACGTTTGCGCATCATGGGTGTCTAATAAAGTACAAGACAATAAAGTGGTGGACCACGTCTGTATCTTTATTAAAGATGTACGAAAGTAAACATTAATTATAAATTCTTTTAGGTTTTGCTCAAATCCAGTTCAATGTTTACGAATCTTAGGAAATAGTTTGAATTTCGTTTCGTACATCTACTTAGTATGGGAAGTAATGAAGTTTCAAAATATAAATTTTCTTGATATTTAATGGTTTAATAAATGGGATAGGGTAAAGTTTTGCTGATAGATGGGATAAAATAAAAATTGCTTGGGTAATTTAAGGTATAGCTAGGGTTAGCTTTGTTTTTTGTTTTTGCCGACTGATGTCGATGTAAAGTAAAGTAAAGTTAAGGTTAGGAGGGAGATGTACGAGGGATTTTATTAAGGTTTTGCTCCCGTAAAGTCTTTGCAATAAAACTTTGCAAACAGTTAGGGTTCTTTTCCCGTAAAGTTTTTTTTTTTTTTTGCAAGTTTTGCAATCTTATTGTGAGGGCTAGTCTGTAGTAAAGGCCACCTCCCAGTTGTATTTATGTCCTTAAGCAGGTAGGGATTTTAGATAGGACCGTCGAACCCTCTCGATGTAGTAGGTAGGAAAAAAAAATTTTGTTCGGTCATCTGGTATGACAAAACAATTTTTTTTTTAGAGGTGCCGGAGGGATGTAACGTCCTCGACGTTACAGCCTCCTTGTTTAAGTAAACTCTTTGCTTTTGCAATGCCTACGGTTGGCAGTTATATTAAAAAGTTAATGTCATGATTTTAATTTGAAATAAGGAATCGTCTGAAGGTTCCATTCTAGATTAGATCTTCAGGCACCAAGAACTTCCTCTCGTATTTAGATAAAATTTCTTTATATTCGCCTGAATGATAAAAAGAAATAAACAATTTATCTCTATCAGTATTTTTCAATTATCGACTACGCTCCCAGGTCCTATCCCTTCTGGGTAGAACGCTATAGTACCTTAGCTGGGGGCGATTTAACGATACACATGCTCCAGCTACATTTTTAGATGAGGTATTTGAAGAGGGTATATAAGTCAATTCTTCGCTTTTTTTTAAAAAAGGCAATATATAAACCAGGATTAGAGCACGCTTAATGTATAAACTGCTGTGTTAATTGAACTTAGCAAAGCTTTAACTGGATATTTCAAACTCAACAGGACATGGTGGCGAGTTACAAAAGATATTTTAGGCGAAGTCACTACAGTTCCACTGGATACGGCATAACCCCAAAAATATAAAATAAAAATATCACATTAATAATGTCGATTTGGATAAATGTGTTATCAATAAATGATTATCATTATTAAAATATTTTGTCTTATTTATTTTTGATTCCAAAACCTTAAATAATATTATATCCATTGTTGGGTTAACAGAGCATCAAAGGTGCAGCTTGAGCGTAAAGAGAATAAGTATAAATAGCACTAATATAACCGCACCTCAACAACGCCACATTTATTGAATCTGAGATGTTTGGAATAAATAGAGATAGATAGCAGCTCACCAAGGCAACAGTTTACAAATATACGCTGCCCGTTGATAAGATTTTACGAAGTGCATTCAATTTTTGTTTCACTCCCAGTCCAAAATAGAAGACAAAAGGTCACAACCTAATTAAATACAGTTTAAAATGTATACCTATTAATAATTAAGTATGCTATAAATATCGAATTTAATCGAATCTAAATATGACATAACCTTAAAATGCTTACGTAATTTAATATTTTCTTTAAACCACCACTTAAGTTTCTAATGATATTTTTCCTACGCAATATACACCTGATTCCCTATTGTTGTACACTTATTCCAATAAGACGCAATGAAAAAAACTTAGCCCAACTCCCAAAGTAAAATGCCCATTCTCCTTTCTTTGAACGCAATATCAGTGATATCAAAGAAGAAATTGATTCGTTCTTTATAAATTCTCCTGCATAAGAACTCATGTTTTCAAGCTTTCGCGGAGATTAATTTTCGAAAAGACTACAAAAGTAATACAAATTGTATACAGTCTTGATCTCGTGTAAAATATGTCGACTTAAAAAATTAGCCCTGTTTTCCAACATAATTGTCGTTGAAGAAAGATTTTTATTTATTTATTTATATATCGACTTGGTGAAATAGGTCACAGATAGACATGTAGTGCACTCTGTAGACATAGCGAATGGCCACAGAGCTGCTTTGAAAACACTCTATAGGAAGGGAGAAAAGGCAATGATCTAGCCAAAATCTATCCGAGTTATTGGCCGCACGATATGCCTGGCGGGTGGACACGGTTCTTTGAGCAACTCGCGCTAACTTCACAGGCGCCCTTTAGTTTTCATTATATTCTACGCACAAGGTAGGATAAGGGACTAAAAGCAATAACAGTCAATAAACATACCTTTGGTTCTAAATAATGTAATGATCGCTGTGCGTGATTGTAAAGATCTCCTACTAACGTCACGGGGTCATTTGCGACCTTCACGTTCTTCGATAAACTAAGCAGCAAATGTGCTGCAGCGTGGCATAGTAATGGCGGTTCCTGAAAGCAAATTTAATGCCACAAAATATACAATGATATGAAGACAGACGTATAAATATTAAGCCTATTTGAATAAGTAAAAAACTAAATATGTAAACGACAAATTTGGTACATAGATTACTCTTAAATAACTTGTTATAATTAGTTTAATTTGATTGATTATGTTAATTTTTATTATTTTTCGGTTCCATTTAAATTACACACTTGCTTGCTACCGAATTTATTATAGTCATTACATCATTGATCTCCTCCGACATCGCGAGGTGACAAGGTGCGACGCGGACATGTTTTAAGCGAAATTGTGAAAAATCTATTAAGTCAGTACATTAACCAATTTGTTTACTCACTGGTATTTCGTGTGGCAGTAGAAATGGCACTGCGGATGTAAATAAACCTTCCATCGTGTGACTTGGGACGCCGCATTCGTTTGCGTAGCAACACCATGCTCCCATACAGGCAAACATTTCAGCATGACTATGAAGAAAAACTTTATAATAGTTATGCAGGTACACAAAGTAGAAATATCAAACGACCAAACTTCATTGCTTATAGGTCCTTACCTATAAAATTGCCGTTCTGCCGTAGTGGCTATTTAAAGTATTCTTTATCTTTTTTCGCTAAGACTTGTAAGTTCATATTATTTTCATTTTTTAAATAGGGATTTTTTTGAAAATTAGTTATTTGTTTAATGTTTAGCGGTCTAATTTTTTTTGTGGAATTGTCGAAGCTGATCATTTTCAATCTTCAGCTGAATAAACAGCAGCTTTCGATGTTAGGATCAAAACAACATTGGTCCATTTGCGTAAAATTGCTAAGGAAAAATAGCTTGACAAATGGGTGCCCCCCGAACTAAATGATCGCCAGCGCGAAGTACTCGTCGAGTCTAGGCTTGCACTGCTCAACAAGCACACAAACGAATGCATATTGATTCGCATTGTTACTTGCGACGAAAAATGGACGGTCTCCAAGTTACAAGAGCTGGGTTTGGAAGTTCTCCGTCATCCACCGTACTCACCAGATCTTGCCTCTTGACTTCAATTTTTTCTAGAATTTGGATAACTTATTAGCAGGGGAAAAAAAATAATCGAGAGGCAGTTAAAAATGCCTTTGAAGAATTGTTTGCCTCCCGTCCAGCAGACTTTTTAAAAGGGCATTAATAAGCTACCACTTCGTTGGCAAAATGCATTTATTGCATGGGTGAACATTGTTTAATAAAAATATAGAAAAAAGGGCGTTAATTTATTACATGAAAAAACGGCAATTTCATAGATAAAGACCTAATATTATGGTTTCCCGTACAGCCAAAATACTTTAGTCTTAGCACCTTCCTCATCGGATTGGTGCGGACTTGTTTCGTTTTCGTTTCTTTACCGAATCTGTACCCCTAGCACGAACCAATATCGAATTCGTATCGTTTGCAAGGCCGAAATGTCATTGTCAAATGTGTACTGATTTTTAGTTCTCGTTACGTACTTTGTGCCGCTGCTGTTCAAGTTTCCATACAAAATTTGACATTGACATTTCGGTTTGCAAACTATTCGAATTCGATAATGGTTCGTGCTGTACAATTTTTTAACGAGAGCTTATACCAGTTAGCACGGCGCACGTGCGCTCCAGCAGCGCCGTGCCCGCCGCGCGGTGAGGACTCTCCGCGTCTACAGACCGGATAAGCGCTCGTTCAGACATGCGGGAATCGTGCGTTTACGAATCGCGCGGTTTGAAACCGCAAAATTGTGATGCTATTCAGACACCGCGGTTAGTATGCGATTTTCGTGCGGGTATAGCGTCAGTTTGAAAATGGAGGTCGACGAAGAAGTGTGTGTGTTGCTGTGGTTGCTCCTTAAAAAAAAGAAAAGAAAAAGGCGGTATTGGGTGCATCCAATATTAAGTGACCGACTAGTACATGGTCAGTTCGTAACGTTATATCCCAATTTAAGAATGTATGATAACAAATTTTTTGACTATTTGAGAATGTCAATAAAATCTTTTGATGAACTAATTGAACTGATCAGGCAAGATATTTCAAGCTCTGAAACGCATTTGAGGCCAAGCGTGTCACCGGAAGAGAAACTCGTAATAACTCTAAGGTAAGATTTATTGTTGTTCTTCAAAATCAGCATAAATATTCTCTATAACAGTAGACGACTGAGAGCCAGAACTAAATTGCGATGGTGACGGTGACGGTGACGGAATAACAGGAGGAGATGATCCAGATGTAGTAAAATATCCTTGCGGGCTTGTATAATTATGTCCTTGCCAATACATAGGTGTGATCTGCTGAGCATTGTAGCGAACAGGGGGTGGTAAGATTTGTCCTTTTTGTATCACTTGAAGTAATTCAATTTTAGTTGCTAAGCGCCTATTTTCGGGTACTTTTTTGAGTTCCTTGTATAACGACAAGCAAAAGAGTTTGTCGTCATCTTGTTTGGTAATACTATTTTCTTGAAGTTCATCCTGAAAAACTTTTCGTGACTTGATGCTTTTTTCTATTAAAACAGCTATTTTTTCTTCTGGCACTTGTGTTTTCTTACGTTTAGGGGGACGTACTTCAGTGGCTTCGGTTGCATTGGCGTTTAGTTGACTTGTCTCCTCAGTTTGCCTTTCATTCTGTTCTTCAATATTAGTTGTAGTGTCTTTATTACTTACACTATTCTGCAGGAAAGAAAGTCTTGAAAAGTACATATATCGGGCTCCTTTACGAGCACCTGAACCAGAAGGAGTTGTTTTTTCTTTTTTGTATTCTTTATTGTAGCAGTCTCGTATGTTTTTCCATTTTTTTTGGAGTTGTGTACCTAAAAATAATAATATTATTAATAATTTTCTTGTTTCAGATATCTTGGTACGGGTTGTTCATTTGGAGAACTTAGCTACAATTATCGCCTAGGAAAATCGACGATTACAGGAATTGTCCGCGAAGTATGTAAATCATTGTGGAATAAGTTGGTAAACATAGTCATGCCCGAAGCGACTGAAGATACCTGGAAGACAATAGCACGAGATTTTGAGAGATATGCAAATTTCCCAAATTGCATTGGTGCTATAGACGGCAAGCATATCCGAGTTATAAAGCCTGTTGATTCGGGATCTTTGTATCATAACTATAAACATTTCTTTTCCATAGTCCTCTTAGCACTTTGCGACGCCAACTATTGCTTTACTTATGTTGATATTGGGGCTTATGGCAAAAGCAGTGATTCTGCTATATTTAAAAATTCGTTATTTTATAAACGACTAACAGAAAAATCATTAAACATACCAATACCTAAACCCATATCTAATGTAGACCCAACACCAATGCCTTATGTTATAGTTGGAGATGAAGCCTTCGGCTTAACGGAAAATTTAATGCGTCCATATTCAGGCAAATGTTTACCATATGAAAAAAGGATTTTTAACTATAGGTTATCGAGAGCCCGACGTAACATTGAGTGCACTTTTGGTATTTTGGCAAACAAATGGCGCATCTTTCATAGGCCTATAAATGTAAATATAGATTTTGCCGAAGACATAATAAAGGCCTGTTGTATTCTACATAACTATGTGCGGACAAGAGATGGCCTAAAATTTAAAGATACTTTATATACAGCACCAATGACTAATCTCAATACCTTGCATGCGGGAAGAGGGACACCGTCATCTTTGAATATCAGAGATAAATTCGCTCATTACTTTGTGAACGATGGGCGTGTTCCATGGCAAGACACAAAAATATAGCTACAACTAACATACCGTACCTACTTGTAATGTTTAGGTACATAACTAAATGTAAACAAACAAAATAAGGTAATAACGTTGTGACCTACATTTGAAAAATGTTCGAAATGTATGCATAAAACAGCCGAAGTTTGTTTATATTTAGTTAAGTACCTAAAGTATACGGAGAGTATAATATACTAGCGCTTCGTAATAATAATTGTAATAGCTAATAATTCTGTCAGTTCATTTTTGGTGAATAAACCTACTTACTTAAAATATTCTTTTTTTCCAATGTGTCTTCACAATCTCCAAATATCTCCACCAACTCTTGCCAAGCTCGGTTCTTGCTTATTTTATTCGAATAATCATCGCACTGAATATCCCATATTGCAGGTCTCTTCTCCACCTCATCAATAAATAGTTCAGTGTCGAAACGATCCATGGCGAACTCACGAGCTAACCGCGCGGTAGCAGCAATGCAACTGAACGCGAAGTAAAGACTCCATAGTAATAGAAACGCGCGGGAGTAGCGCGATTCTATTTTCTGGCGGTTGGGTTGCGGGAACCGCGCGGTTTGATTAACCGCGCGGGTATGTCTGAACGATTACTCACTAACTCATACAAATAAGACCCGCGCGATTTCCATGCGATTCTGAAATCGCGCGGTTCCCGCCGTGTCTGAACTAGCGCTAAAGTGATACACCTGCACGTGCGCTCCATCAGCGCCGTGCCAGCCGCGCGGTGAGGGCTCTCCGTGTCTACAGACCGGATACAGTGATACCTGCACGTGCGCTCCATCAGCGCCGTGCCCGCCGCGCGGTGAGGACTCTCCGTGTCTACAGACCGGATGTACGAGTCATCGTACTAAGTTAGCATACTTTTAATGCAAACATAGCAATAAATTATTATGATTTGTATACTTAAATATAGAAATAAAATCAGTGCGAATGACGCATTCAGCAGCATCGCGTGTATCATTTAACCCTTATCATAAATCAATATCGTATCAATTTAATATCATTTAATTATCATTATTTAATATCAATATCATATTAAGTGTAGGGAACACCCTACATATATTGGTCCTTCGAACTTTCGTAAAAGTGGGATCTATCGCGAGTGTAACGTCAATTCTGTTGCTAAGTGATTGTTCCTACGTAAACCAGCGAGTGGACGTTTCATCTGTCTACTTTGTTATCATTTAAGTGTTCTTTATCGGTAGCGAATCGGTTCTCTCGGCCTCCCACAAGCGGGTCTCACCGGGTTGAATTGAGAAGGTGCAAATATCGACAAAAGAACACAGTATTTGCTGCGCAGAAGCAGTGATCAACTATTTTTTTATAAGTACGTATCATATCCTCTTATCATTATCATGATGGAGTTAATCGAGCGCCAGAGCGTGATTGTCAAGGAAATCGAGAAGATCTACGCTAGCTTCAAGAAGGATCCTAAGGATAGGAAATCGCATGATTATTTTCAGAAGAGATTGGAAGCAATTGGTAACTTATGGGGTGAGTTTCAACAAAACAATTTACAGTTACAAGAGTGTGAAGATAAGTTCAGATTATTTTATGAAAAACATTTACCAAAAAACGGAGCATTTTTATCAATCAGCGCGAGCAGTTATGGAAGCTGAGTTCAAGCAATTATCAAAGACGACAACACCAATCACGAAGCAGATCCAGGGGTCGTCTACCAGGTTTGATGTTCCTATTATCAAAACTACTACATCTACGACCGATTCCAACGTCGGTGAGTTGTTATCCAGTCAACAAGCA